TATACTGGTTGAATTCTGCCAAAGAGAAAAACACTCTCCTTCTCATGCATGGAGCATCACTCATCCTACTCTGGCACTGGAAAAACGGTGAAATGTTTTGTAAGCGAACAGTCCAGCAAACTGCACCGTTCACACAATTCCTCGTAGTTGGGAATATATGAGACAAAGGCTAACACTCTTAGGAGAGCTTCTGTGCTTAAGTGTGACACTTAAACTCCAGATTCACATTAATATAAGAATGTAAACTGTTCAGTTATTCGTCTGGGGTTGTTTATTTGGAGAGTTACTTATATGTTGATATAGATTCAGTGTCATCTATTCAGTTTTCCTCTATTAGGATTTCTCCGTTCACTCTTTCAACAAGAGAAATACTTTGAGTTACCTAATGGACCAAAAGAAAATGTTCACCTCTTTAAATATCATAATCATGCATGTTTTAAGTCAGACGTGCATGTGATGATCGTTATAGTAAAAACGTCTTTCTTTTTTTTAATTTCAACATCCTCGTATCCTAGGAATTACAATTATAGAAGTCACAATAGTCCGAAGCAGTAGCCTCACTACACGATTAGACATGTTTTTCACATTTCAAACTGAAATAGTGATCAGATGTGGCCCTTCCCCAGCCCTGGATATCCTCCTGACATGATTGCACCCCAGACACATTTCCTGCAGTTTGGTCCTCATGACTCACTCGTTGCACCGCTGATGATTTTGCCCCTCGGCACTAACGGGAATAAACAGTATATTCATCTCAACCCACTTCAAAGTCGCGGTCGCTCCCTCTGACATCTATGGCCACAGACAAGACACAGAGACACGCAAAGCAGCATGGTTACCAAACTCCAAACAGGGTCCGGGTGATCAGACGAACAGAAACCACCGCGTTAAAGCATCATGTGATGAAAAAATGACTTTCTTTATTTAAGCCTCACCTCTGGCATTTTCTCTTCTGTCATAAGAGACAAGTTACTGTTACTCATTTTTTCCATTTCCATTAAATTATGTACATCCCAAAGTGTGAACAGATGGACTTTATGTGCATTATTTATCAGCCCGTGGATGTAGTAAAATTTGAATTTTTTATTAAAACATGTCTCTAGTTAAAACACTGTCCTTATGTGTATGTTAGCTCCCGTTTGCTACGTCCCAGGCAGCTGTGTTTGTACCAACTACACTAGTTTATAAACTGTTGCATTGTCCTTTAAGCTTAATCTCTGAATCCAATTGGTCTTACCCTAAAATAACTTAGATCGCTCTTTTTTCTTCTTAAATTTCAGTACCCTGCAGCTTTGATGAATCTCGGGGCAATCCTCCACCTCAATGGGAAGCTGCAAGAAGCTGAAGCCAATTACCTCCGAGCACTTCAACTAAAACCAGATGATGCCATCACCCAGTCCAATTTGCGTAAGCTGTGGAACATCATGGAGAAACAGGGCTTGAGGACCACGAGCCCCTGAGCTCAAGAGATCCCGCCTACTCGCCATCTGCACACCAGACCTGGGGAAAGGACAGCCTACACGCTCCTCGTTTGCTCCTGTCATCCAGAAAAGATGGAAGAGACTCAGGGAGAACGTTTGCTCAAAGAGGCCGTGACTGTACCACACAGCTCTCCTAGTGACTCCTGAGCTTCGCATACACCTCAGGCCGGCAGCTTTCCTCACAATCACTGCTCACAGTTTGGCAGACGTTATGTGGTATTTGGACTTTTAAGTACTTTTTTCAAAATTAAGGCTTTTTTTCCTTTATAACTAAAGCACTTGAAGTAGGGCTGCCACGATTAGTCGACTAGTCACGATTACGACTGATT